TTACTAGTTCAGCTATTTTTTACAGATATCAATAATTTATTAGTTTTCCAATCCGGAAAGCAAAGTTTTCTCCTTAAATTGATTAGAAAGGTAATAAGCCTTTAAAAATTTTAATATTTCCTGCAGTTTGTTTTTCTGTGAAATTTAAAGGAGTTACAATATATATATAACAGACAATTATGGCAACCCTTTCTACGCTGCAGGCTTTCCTTAATGATGTATTCAGTATTATGCACGTAGACGTCTGTTAAAGATTTAAGGCAGAAATATCGCAAGATAAAAAGATTTTATATCAAAGTATTACTATCCCAAAAGGAACGTTACTCGCGAATGGGGATATTATTCTCGAAATGGTATTTTGCGTTGAATTACTAAAAACGGCGAATCACTTTTCATATTGTTGCCACCAAATATTATTTCACAAGAAATTAACTAATGAAGAATCTGCATGAATTCATCTATGTTTCTCGCACTGTGAAAAAACAGCGGTGCCTAGAGCCATGAAATTCTGAATAATGTAGTTCTCAAACCGAGATGGGCACTTGGAACCCCGAATTTTGAATTTCGAATTTCTTTCGAAATCTTTTTATCTATTTCATATTTTGAAAACTTTCAAGGATTTTGGGTTAACAAACTCAACGAGTTCAACGTGAGCAGTAATAACATTGTTGGGAATAAAACACATTTATTTCCAACGCGCGAGACTCTCTATTGGAAATTCTAAAGATAAGCTGTTTGAAAATATTTTGTGACTTTGCCGTTGATTTGAATTGCGTGTGGCTTAAGCACCAAGAGCGTGAGAGTTAATAAATAAAGTTGTAGAGCCATTATTGTTATTATTTTGAAACTGGAGATGTGCAAAACGTACACTGTCCTCCCCGGGACTCGAACCCTGGAACTTTTGAATACTTTTCAAGTATGCTTCCAATTATTCCACGACGCCATACGGAAAGGAGGAAGAAAATACCTTATAAAGTAACCCATTTTAAATGGCGACTGGGGATTAGAGGGCCCAATCACCAAATCCTGGAGATGACGAATTATCATCGGCCACCTTTTAGTTCGGGCGTCACTTCGATTTGTTTTTCGAAACAGGAGACATGAAACATGTGTTGTGTCCTAGTCGGTACTCGAACGGAAGTATGCTTCCAATTGTACCTTGAAGACATGCGGAAAGGAGGGAGAAAATACCTTATTAAGTAAAACACACACACACACACACAAAAAAAAAAAAAAAAAAAAAAAAAAAATTAACATTAAAAAGACTATTTTAAATGTTAGCCATATTTCGAATACGCATATATATATATATATATAAGCTTAATCTAAAAATACCATGGTTAGAAAGATAGCGATAAAATAGCTTCTTGTCTAAAATATTATATTATTTTTATCAGAATTCGTATTTCAGTGGCTTACACATTTTGAATAAAAATACTCAGTTTCTGCTACACGCTGAGATAATTTTTAAATAATTTTTTCGCAAATTAAATTGTACATCTGCGGAAATTAATTTCAAAGCATTTACGAACTTGAAATAAGGCCCTCTTTAAACTATTATACTGCTTTTATAATAGGTTTTATCACAGGCTTTTACTTCAGTTGATAGCAGCATTTTTAATCCAAAAATACGTTGGAATTTTTCACAAAGATGGTTTTTTACTGACGGTTTTAAATCAGACATCAGCGCGATCTAATTTCAAACTATTTTAATGGTTTACATAATGTCGTCTAAAAATTAATGTTGCTTCATGCATGTTTCTTTTCATGATCACTTTAAATGAGGAGGAAGAAATTTACAATTTGTTAAAAAAATAAGAATTGGAACAGGATAGTGCATCGAAAATATTAATAGCTATAAACAGGACAAGGAGAAGGCAGATACTCATAAACTCTTCTTTAGCACACGAGAAATATTGTAAATTACAGATATCACTCTTACAGCAAACATTAAAGAGCGTGTAAAATTCTAGCTATAAAATAACTGTACTTTTGCTAGCTAGATCTTTAGTTGAAATGTAAAGTGACTATTTACTATGTTCGACTGTATCAATGACAAGGCGTACGGTGGATGAAAAGACCCTCGACTTAAGAAAGAATTTATACTAGGCACTCCTGGTACTTAAACACATACCAATACTTTTGGCTGTAATTCAAAATAGAAATATAAAATTAATACTAAGCTATATAATCAGCTGAGCTGACTTTTAACCCTACCACCTACATAGACAACCCAGCAATTAATATACACGGCCGTAAAATAGCAAGCTTAAATATCAGCAAAACAACATGGCTGGAAGTCAGAACATGCTCTGTCTGAAGGATTTCAGACCCCAGATTAAATAGTATCTTTCTGCCCTACTTTGCCTATTACACGAAACTAAAATATCATTCTGGAAATGAGAGAAAACTAAAAAGATTAAAAAATGAACAAAACTGGTTACTATAAAACTAAATAAGCCATTACAAGCACTTCAACTAACTATGTTTGAAACGCAGTTTCCTAGATCTGAATAACAACTGATTACTGGCTCTGGGAGCCACATTAAAATGGTGATACACGAAGCAAGCTCTGGGGCTTGGAACGAATCTGGAAGCTTCGGGGGGGGGAAGGGTCTCCAAATGCACTTTCCAGAATCTTCCGGAAAAACGCAATCTGTCGTCAAATTGGCAACAAAATTTGTCCGTAAGCCGGTTGTGCACATGTTTTGGGTTCTAATTGAACTAATTTGTTTAATTAAATTTTACAATTGAAATGTAACTGGATGCACAAAACTGACTACACAAAAACTGAATGCTTATATACAAAAACTGAGGCCTCAAATTCATTAACATATAAATTAAGCATAAAAATACTATCCTAAATTTAAAAATTGAATAAATAAATAAATAAAAGTACACAGTATCAAACAATGCACAAAAATAAGAACGCAATCAAACAGATTTAAACATGTACAGAAACTGACAATAATTCATTTATGGCTTACACGTTTTTAATCCAAGTACTACTTTTTTATTATAGGATCTTACAGAAATAATCGCCTTTTTAGCCTTTTAGTTTTTAATTTAAAATTTGCTTAAATCAGTTTCAAAATGTTAATAAATTTGAAACAGAATCGTCTAAAATGTTTTATTACTTTTATATTTTCTTTACGCATTTTTAATAGTATAAATAGTTTTTTTTCTTTCTTTTATATGCCGGGAACGTTACATGAACTAGTTAAAAACTATGTATATTGTAGCAAACACTGAGCATACTCAGAAAAATGCCAATTTTTGCCGCTTTACTACTTTTATCTATTTTTATTATACATTCAACTTTGCATATATGTTCAACTTATTTCTGTTTGGAAAATTTAAATGCTCATTCGAGGCAGAGAAATAACCTGAATCCTGAATGTGTGTATGTTATTAATCGAAGTTTTAACTTTCGGAGTTAACATACATGCTTTCTAGCCAGGTGTTTTTTTTTTTGTTTTTTTTTAAATATTTATTTTGACATACCATTATTTTTTGCAACTCGTTACCTTTTTTCATATAGTTAGTAAAGGGCAATCACTTTTTATTCACATATAGTAGTTAATTACCTCAGATTAGATTTAGAAATATTATCATTGATTATCTCTGACACTACAAATACGTAATAAACTAAAAAATATTTCATTAAGGTATTATGAAAGCTCAAAGACACTGTAACTATCTGCAGAAATAGTACATGTATCTCGAATCCGGTTTGAGTTGTCTTTTCTTCCAAGGTAAATGCTTATCGGGACCAACCATGAAATACCGGAAGTACGCAATGACTTACCTTCCTCCTTAATGTAACTGTTGGGAAGGCTGGAGAGTTCATCTTTTCTTAGAAATTTAAAGAAAACTTTTTAAATGATAAAGTCGTTTGCTTATTTATTATCAAAATATTTGCTAGTCGAATTCATTATAACATTTATTTTCGAAGTTAAGATTTTATTTCCCTTGTATTTTGTACATAGGTAATACCAGACAGGCGCAATGCCAGATGGAATCATTTACAGTGTTGACTTTAATTGATGTAATACATTATTTTCTAATTAAATAAATGATTAATAAAATTAATTAGCATATCCAAGCAATGAAATATATTGCAATACCATTTTACAAGCAACAACACTGAAATAGGCAATGCTTCGATAAAAATAAACATATGGAATATGATATTAAAAATGAATATGTTCTTTTATCAGTTACCCATTTCGGATAAGAATAGCGTAAACTCTCACTAAAGCGGTTGCTTAGTGCCAGAGGATTCCAGTCTTCCATGGAACAGTTTATTTTTACAAAGCCGATGTTCAAAATGTTTGTTTACGTTCCTAGAACTTGGTATTTTCAGTAGTGGTCGTATTAGGGAGATTGGCGCCATGAGAATATTTCCCTCTATTTTTAGTTTTTATGCAAAATAAACCATGATTCACTACGAATTATTATTTCTGAAAAATGGCAGTGTTGTTTAGTAACCTAAACTGTCTGTTTCATTCAAATTCTTTCAAAAATAAAATACGGTACTGAAGAAAGTTGCAACTTTTAAATACCTTAACATTAGGAATTACCTGCAGTTTTAAATTAGCATTTTAATTTTATGAGAGAAATTTCATAATATGCAGTGAATGTATAAAAGAAGAAGAACTGGAAACGTTTATTGCTTAATAACTTCAGAACTTATATAAACATTCTGTCTTCGAGCTGCTTTATACGTAAATACATAATAAAATCTATGTTTGCAACATTTTTAAGCTTCATTTGTTCCTGAATCTAAATTTTTGTTTAAATTTAATAAACATACTTGTTTTGCATTTTAACATAATATACTTGAAATGTCCAGGATTATGTCCAACTAAAAGAATTTCGACATGAATTTAGAAGAAAAAAATGGAATTTCGTTATATTGAATTTTCCAAGGATAGTTAGTTACAATCTTTTTTCTTTCCCATTACATGGTTTTTAAATTATTTAAATTTTTATTCCAGAGATTTACACTACCGAATCCACTGCACTGAAGAACAATTCAGGAAATTTCACTGCATTGCAGCAAGGTAATAAAATATTTATTACTATTTTTATGAGTAAGTTATTATTATGAAAAATTATTAGGTTATTCTCTTAATGGATTTACTCTTACTTATCTCTTACTAGGTGACAGTCGAAAACATCGCGGAGAAAACAACGCAACGCGAAAACGTCCTGGTAGAAAACATCGTGGGAGAAAAGAAAGCGAAGAGACAGCATCATGGTCGAAAATAATGCAGTTAAAAAACTTCGCAGTTTAAAATCATCGTCGTAAAAAACATCGCGGTAAAAAATAAAGCACCTACAAAATCACAGCATGACGATAGCATCGCACACATGCGGTTTTTCAAGTTTTAAAAGTTCTAAATGCATATTCGCATGAAGATTTGAAAGCGCAAGAAATGTTGCGACACTTTAAGGATAACGGAAACAAAACAAGATATAATTTTCATCAAAACAATATCAGATTAACAAACGGGAAGGAAAGTAATTTGATAATAACTAAGCAATTTTAATAGAGGTAACCTCATGCAGTTATTTATTTTCCTTTTTCTAAACATTTTTAGGCTGTATTTTTCTTGAAACGTTATGAGTAAAACTTTATAAAAAATATATTAATTTATTAATTTCTATTAAGCTCTGTAAATTGCATTAATATTCTACTGATTTTTAATTTTTAAATGCTTAAGTTTCCTCCTTATTTTTTCAGCAAAAATGTATTAGTTCATTGAAAAATATGAAATATAAAATAAAGATATCCCTCTTTCCTTCTGCGTTCCCAAATCATTATGCGAAAATGCATTTACACCTTTCAAAATCTGATAACGCATGTGTGCGATGATATCGTCATGCGATTATTTGTAGGTATTTTACTTTTTACCATGATATTTTCGATGACGATGTTTTTAAACTGCAAAGTTTTTAAAGCGCTTTATTTTGGTTGACGATATTTTCTACCACGATGTTTTAGAACTACGATGTTTTCCTCTTTGCTTTCTTCTCTTTCCACGATGTTTTGTACCACGACGTTTTCTCGTTTCATATTTTTTGTAGTAGGGAGACCACGGAATATCTCTAAATTCCCGTAATTCCCGTGAGCGGGACGAACTTGAGAATGACAGTTCATCTCTAGAGGCCACAGGTGAAGCGTCGAACCCTTCTCGCACCTTTCATGCAATACCGAAAAATTTTCCTGCGAATAAACATGCGTGTAATTAACGTGAATAACAGCCTGTGATTACTCCTTGATTATGTCGCGCGACATACATCCATTATTTATTTTTGTTATCTGTATATATATATATATTGGTTTACAGGAAAAAGAGAGAATGCGTTTCTTCAAGCACACAAAATGTCATAACTTTATCATTCATTCAATATACTCAATCTTCTTCTTTAGTGGATTTCGTTTTATTATTAACTAGCAGCTACGCGGCCAGCCTTCGTCTGGCTTTTAAATGTACCGGGAAAATGACTAAAGGGAATATCTAACGTTAAATTTAAAAACTGCGCAGAATTTTACTCCGCAGAAAAACTTCAGAAAAAAAAAAAACCACACATTTTTTTTTTTTTAAATGTATTTCGTATGACAAAATTACAATAAAATAAACAATATCCCCTAATACAAATATTAATTATCCTAATAAATAAATTAACTAACTTCCCGTTGCAAAATCTTAAGAATTCAAATGGTATAAAGGAAGTTAAAAACTTTGTTTCCTAACAAAAATCATGCAAAACTTTTTATAATTAAAACATTATATAAAAAATTGCAATGAAATAAGCAATAAATCTCATATTTTCAAGAGAAGACAGTCAGCAGTCCAGTATCCAAAGCAATGAATGAAAAACGCTTAAAAAAAAACTATCATCAAGAAGGAATAGCCAATCAAAACTGTGCTTTGTGAATGACATAATTCAAAATATACAAACCTCCTTGCCATTAGCTAATAAAGAGAGATAGAGATAGGAAATTCTTTCTGTTGTGCCTCGCGAGACACATGCGCTTCAGAATAAGAAGATTGCGATGTGCGTGTCCAAAAATCAAATAAAAGAAAGCAGCATTTTATCTTGTATTTTCAACACTCAGCAGAAAGCATTGAATGAAAAACTGTTGCCAAAACCACATTTCTAAAAGAATGAAACTATTCAAAATGATGCGATAAAATCGAAAAGATAAAATTAAAAAAAATCTGATTCGAATTTTGAAAAAATCGCTTCGAGGTGCACTGGCTATTGTCTAGATCAGTGGCGTAGCGAGGGGGGGGCAAGGGGGTGCATGATGCCCCGGGCGCCTCTCGTACAGGGGCGCCAAATGGTCTCCAAACAAGAATTTCCGGAAAATTTCAGTTTTCATTTTGATCGATTTCTGGAAAATATATTTAAAATTAATAACGATTGTAATATAATTAATCATTTATTTTCTTGATTTGTCTGATAAAATGTGTAATAAATGTTTGCAGTACATTAGCCAAAACGTTCTTCCTGACCACTTTATTTCTCCAAAGTAGAGATCTTTTTTTTAAACGAAATGCACGTATATGTTAAAACGATTTCTCAAACAAACCGATTCCATAATCTGGGAATGACATTTTTTGGGAAAATCCTAACGCTTCCGCTACAATGGATTGCGTTTGACTCTCCTGTAAACGACTGATGGCCTTTCTGGCTACCGATTCAACTAAGTCATCTTGCTGAGACATCGTATATTCACTGCTACGAAGCATTCAACGCATGTCAATTCTATTTAATCTCCTATTACAAAAGGAATACTGCAGGTCGCTCCTTACTCCTTATCTAAAACTCATAGATTTCGACGTCACAGACTAAATTCGCATATTCCCAACTTGTAAAAGTTATAAATTTTCCTGTATAAGCTCTTCTATTTCCTTTTGTTCAAAAAGGTTGTCCATTATATGGTTATTTCATACCGAACCCACAATATCCCCTAATTGTGCCCACCAGCGGCCGAGCGGTAAAGACGCAGAACACTGGTAGTTCGGTCCGAGGTTCGAATCCCGCGAACGGGCTGGCTGCATGGGCGTTTTCGTGGTTTTCCCCATGTGTAACGTGTATACGAGCCAGTTTCCCTTAGAAAGTCCTCCACGAAGACATCCCTCCCTTTAGGTAGATAGCCCTCGTGTGCTTTGCCATAATTGAATAATCCTAACCCCTAATCCCCTGTTTTGAGCAGTGAATGTGAATGCATGACGTTACTCCGCAGTAGAAAAGAAACGGAACTTAAAACTACACTACAGATCTATAGAGTAAATGTTTTTCTAAGCCTAAGAGTCGCACTTCAAATACTACTTACTACTTCATTATCAAATGCTAACTATGAACGTTCGTTCAGCAAACTAAAATAAATGTTCACATATTTACATTCAGCGATGGGACAAGATCCCCTAAGTCATCCAGCATTTTAAGTGTGGAAAGAGAAAAAATTAGAAAGGGTCGACTTAAATAAATTTGCTTCATCCAAGGTAAGAAAAATGTATACATAATAATTAATTGTATTCATGTATTATATTATTATTAATAAATATAAGTGCCCGACCAAGTCGAGGTGCACGTGATTGAAGCGATTTAATTGATTGAAGCACGTGGTTTAAGTGATTGAAGCGAGATGAGGGCAAATTTAAATTTTTAAGTTGGCTGGTCGTGTGTCTGACAATTTTAGATCTTTGGCCCTCCAAGCACGAACGTGTCCAGTTGGCTATGTCCTTTTGCATGCTAGGTCATACGAAGCGTTTCTGTATCAGTTTCCTCGAAGCCTTGATGCCAGGATGTGACAGACGATGTAACTGACCAAAAATGGCATGGCGAAATCCGGAGGGAACATAAGGTCGAAATCTTGAATCCTGAACTTCACAATAAAGTGATTTTCCAGTCGACAGCTGCTTAGGCTGCAAGTTGAGATTGGTGGAAGTTTTGCTTTTCAAGAGGGTTTGAATCTCGGTGTTGTTCATCCGCAAGAGCAGCAAACTTTTCTGGCGAAGAAACGGCTAGTTCTTCAATACGAGACAAGGTGTCTGCAACAATATTCTGCAAACCCTCAATATAATGGATAGCTGTTGAAAATTGCCCTATGAATTCTACGTGTCTCATTTGACGAGAAGTTTATTGTGTTGAAAACCATAGGTTAAGTGTTTGTGATCTGTGAAGATCATGAAAACGCGTCCGTCTAGCATGTGTCGAAAATATTTGACAGCTTCATAAATTGCTAATAATTGCAATCGTAAGTGCTGTATCTGGTTTGTGCTGGTGAGAGTTTTTAGAAACATATGAGTCTCCATAATTCTTCATCTTTCTGTTGTAAAAACTGCTCCTATACCTGTTGTTGATGCGTCAACGTGTAGAGGACATTAGGTTATTTTTTGGAAGCAGAAGAGATGAAAAATATGCAACTCCTTCGCCGGGAATCGAACCGCGGACCTCTGGAATACCGGCCCAGCGTGCTACCGTTACACCACGAAGACACGCTATGGAAGGGGTAGAAATACCTTATAATGTATATAATATATCGTGTATAATGCGACTGGTGTTTTTAGGGAACCCAATCGCCAAATACTAGGTGTGGAGAATCCTCATCCAAAACCCCTTTCAGTTCGGGCGTCACTGTAGAGACATTAGGATTTTTGGGAGCAAAAGAGATTGAAAAATTAGCAACCGCCTTCGCCGGGAATCGAATTGCAGACCTCTGGAGTACCGGCACAGCGTGCAGAACTACTACACCACGAAGGCACGCTAGGAAAGCGGAAGAAATACCTTATAAACGTAGAGTGATAATGGTTTAGATGCGGAAGGATACTGCAGATTTGTTGCCGAAATTAAATCCTTTTTGCGTTTTTGGAACGCTTCGAGAGATTCTGTGGTCCAGGTTATAAAGCGTTTATCGCTTTTCTTGCTTCCAACCAAAAAAGAATTCAGAGGTGATTGTATGGTTGCTGCATGAGGTAAGAAACGTCGATAAAAATTGAACATAGCAAGAAATAATCTTAAGTCCTTCACTGTAGATGGTTCGGAC